GAAGCTTCCTGGGGCTTCTTGCAGCCATCAGACGCACTTCGAAGACTCCCGCTTGAGACTTCCCTGCAACTCACCCCAAAACGGAGCTCTTGCCTAAGACTGCTTCGCGATGTTTTCCCAGACGAGGCCCCAGCTCGAGACACACCAGGCGTCAGGAGCCCAAGAAAGAACAAATGACCAGCTCGGAAACATAACATGAAGTGCGGGCCCCGTAGGGAGGGAGCTCCAGCTCGAGGCTTCGTCGCGATTCGGTCACAAACGGGGCTCCCGCTCGAGACTTCCTCGCCAGGAGCCCAAACGTGAGGACAGTTCCAAGTTTTCGGATGCCCGCCTCGGAGTCATAACATGAAGTGGGGGCCTCATACGGGGGCTCCCGCTCGAGGTGTCGTCCCGATTCGCTTACAGGCGAGGCTCCCGCTCGAGACATTCTCGCAATTTAAACCTCAGGAGCCCCGAAGTACCGACACTTACAGGTTTGTTGATGGCCACCTCGGTTGAGAACCTGAAGTGGGGGGCCAATAGGGACGGGAGTCACCCCCGAGATTCCGAGACATCAGACCGATTCACTCACTGACGAGGCTCCCGCTCGAGACTTCATCAAGGTAAGGTGTGTGCGTGTGTGTGTGTGTGTGTGAGTATGTGTATGTGAGAATGAGTGAGCGTGTGTGTATGCCTGCGTGTGTGGGCACGAGTGAGATCGTGCGTGTGCGTGTGAGAAAGATGATGTAGCTATGTGAGACGATGAAGATGATGGTGAGGGTGATGATACTGATGGTCTTAGTGATCCGTGTGTACTAATGGTGGTGCGAATGATAATGGTGACGACGACAAGGGTGCTGCTGTTAATGTTGATGATAGGGGGTGCTGGCGATGATGATGATGATGATGATGATGATGATGATGATGATGATGATGATGATGATGATGCTGATGATGATGATGATGATGTTGATGACGCTGTCGATGATGATGGTGATGATGATGACGACGATGATGAAACTGATGATGATGATGATGATGATGATGATGATGATGATGATGATGACGATGATGATGATGATGATGATGCTGCTGATGATGATTGCTGTTGGAAGTGATGTTGTTATTGTTGTTGGTGATGCTGATGATGATGGTGATGAGGAGGATAAGGATGGTAGTGGTGGTGGCGACGATAATAGTGATGGTGTGTGTGGCGTCCTGGGTTCCTCTGGTGCCTGCGCGGGGTGTCCAGAGAGCAAGAGATACCGACTTAGTGAGGAAACTTGGACGTTGAGAGCTCTGCGCGGATTTCTTGACTCGGCGCTGCACCCCTCCATGGCGCATGCTTCTGGGGGGCAGCCCCCTGCTTCTCCAAGAAGCGGGCCAGGCCCCCTCTGACAGATCTTTCTCGACGGCTGCCTGGCTCACTTCCCGCCCTGGCCCTGTCTCTTTTGAAAGAGGGGCGTGGAGGGGAACGCGGCCACCGGGCCGAACTGCTCGCCTCCAATGAAGCTGAACACCGTCACACGACCAGCGCTCCGAGCCCCTCCATGGGCGGTGGCTCCAGCAACCAGCGCGTGAGCAGCGGCTGGGCAAGCCTCGGGTTGCTGCCGGCCCAGATGTCGACGCGGAGGCGGTCGTAGTCGAACAGCGCTGTGGCCAGGGTGACAGAGTAGTCCCCGTTGCCGAGCGTGCGGTAGATCGGCCAGTGCTTGTCCTGCGTGTCTCCGAGGACCCTGAGGACGCCGTCCCTACCCACAGCAGGCAGGAGCTGCCGAGCCCTTGCCTCCCTGTGAGCGCTGGACGGCGACAAATGTGGGTCTTCCGTCACGTTCATGTGGAGGTATGCGTTCGCGTGGAAGTAGCTGCCTCCCGAGACGTTCCATACAGAAACGCCGCCTCCAGGGGCGACCTCGATGTTGACTTGCTCTTTGGTGACCACCGAGCCGACATTCAAGGACATGCCATAGGCGTGGCAAAACCGCTCGAGGATGCCTATGGCCTGTTGGATGGACTCGGCCTCCAGGACTGCCCGGCCAAGCCAATACTTGCCTGCACAGCCCGCCTTGATAATGGCACTCCGTGGGGATAGCGCGTTCATTGTAACCACAAGGCCGTGGCGGTTAAATCCAAAAGCTCCACCTGCCAACGCTCCAGGGTAGACCATCGCCTCGAAGTCGTCCGTTCTGACGATGTAGCTGAAGTTTGCGAGCTGCTCCTCGCCGTCCTCGTTGTGGCCGTGCACGTGGCTCTGCTGGTCGTGGACCAGCACGTCGCTGCACGCCTCCCGCTCAGAGTCGGGGGCCTGCTCGGCGAACACCGCCAAAAGCTCGTTCTTGAACGAGTACGCGGCCAGGTCCCGATAGCCTAGGCCGGCGCCCTGGGCCATCGCCTGCAGCTCCTGCGCGAAGCGTGGGAAGGCCGCCGAATGCCAGGCGAGGAGCCCGTCGAGCGCGGCAGAGACGTTCTCGTTCCGCAGCATCGACCTCAGCCGGGCCGTGGTGGGAGACGTGGTGTGGTACTCCCTGAAGGGACAGGAAGGCTGTCGGGGGTGCTCTGCTCGCCAGAGCCTGGTGCCCCCCTCTTTCCGTGCTTCTTGGGGGACCTTGGAGCCCTCTGCGCCACACAGCGAGGCACAGGATGGTGTGGACGCACCTCCTGACCGAGGCCAGGCCTGTACATGATCCCAGGACCCAGGATGCCTGGCTGGGCATGATGGTGGTGTTTCGAGGCCTTCTGCAGACTGGCCCTTCAACTCTGGCGTCGCAAAAATGTTACGTAGCCTGGCGAAGGATCCAACCATATGCAGCTGTGAGTACCGTGCGACAGGTGGAAACTGAGGGAGTGGGTTTAACAAACGGACGAAAGCGTGCATGAGCAGAGCGGAGCAACGTTCCTGCTTTTGTCGCAGAGGTCCGCTTTGACGGGCCACACGTGAATGTAACCGATTACGGCTGATCTGCACGTCTTTCGACGCGGACCTGGCGAACAACAAGCGGCGGGGCCTTCGGTTGAGCACCTCTGGGGCCACGAAACATGCGAGGAGTGTGCCGCAATGGTCGCGGACACGCATGCGAGTCCTGCCGCTGGGGCCTTCGGTAGAGCTCCCTAAGGGGCCAAGAAGCGTGTGAGTGGTGTACCGACAGGGTCAAACCACATACGGAAACCCAGTCGTGATGACTTCGGTGGAGCTCCCTGTGGGGCCACGAAACGTGAAGGGTGTGCCAAACCTGGTAAGAACCGCATGCGAACCCTCCCTCCTGGGGGCTTCGGTGTAGCTCCCTCTGGGGACACGACGCGTCTGAGTGGTGTGCAAAGATGGGTAAGGACCGCCCACTCCCTCCTGGGGGCTTCGGTGCTCCCTGTCCGGATACGAAGCATGTGGGGCGTGTGCCGAAATAGAAACAGAGCCGCATGCGCACCCCCCCTCCAGGGGGCTTCGGTGGAGCTCCCTGTGGGGCCACGGAGCGTGTGAGAGGTGCGTCCAAATTGGCAATGGGTAAAAAATAAGCCCAACAAATGCGGCCCCCCCCTCCTGTGAGCTTCGGTGGAGCTAGCTCTCTGATCTGGGGCCACGAAACGTGTCAGGGGCGTGCCGACATGAAAAAGAGAAGCGTGTGACCCCCGCCTCCTGAGGACATTGGTGGAGCCCCCTGTAGGGCTACGAAGCGTGTGAGGGGTGTGCAAGATGATGACGAGGATGACGATGTCGACGATGACTGTATGGTGGTGATGACGCTGCTGCTGCTGCTGCTGCTGATGATGATGATGATGATGATGATGCTGATGATGATGATGACGGTGGTGATAATGGTGGTGATGATGGCGACGTTGGTGGCGATGATGATGCAGATGCTGACGATGACGATGACAATGACGATGCTGGTGGTGGTCATGATAATGGTGATGCTGATTGTGATGATGCTGCTGATGATGATGCGGTTGATGGTGATGAGGCAGATGACGATGATAGTGATGACGACGATGGTGATGGTGATGGTGATGGTGATGGTGATGGTGATGGTGATGGTGATGATGATGATGATGATGATGATGATGATGATGATGATGATGATGATGATGATGGCGATGGCGATGAAGATGATGCTGATGGTTAGGATGCTAATGTTGAGAATGGTGACGATTACAATGATAAGGAATATGCTGATGATACTGATGATGACAATGGTAATATTCATGATGATGATGATCATATGCGTACTACGGTGATGCTGATGTCAGTGATGGTAACGATGATGATGCTGATGGTGATGACGATGGTGATTATGATGAGGATGATGATGGTGGTGATGATGATGCTGCTACTGATGCTGATGATGATGATGATGCTGAGGATGATGATTATGATGATGCTGATGCTGCTTCTGATGATGATGATGCTGATGATGATTATGCATTATGCTGTTGTTGTTGATGACGCTGGTCAGGTGGAGACCAGAGACAGGGATGGGAGGAGTGGTAGGAGGCGGGGAGAGGAGGCGGACGCGGGCGCTCTCTTAAACACGAGGACCCAACACCACAGGTTGGTTGGGAACAACATTAACATCATGAGTAGTCACATCTGAAGCCCTCGGCCCCGTCTTTCTGATGCCTTTCCCGAGTTGGCCGAGTTGGATCGATCTGCGAGGGCCCTGGGGCCCGAACACAGGCGAATCCACCGCCCAGCAGTGCGGGCATGCTATCGTGTGGGCCTCCCTGGAAAAGCTTGGGCCGCCTCTTGACTGCATGCAAGAGTCCTTTGATGCGCGTGCGCAGCATGACATGGTCAGGGGGGGGGGGCGGGGCAGGGGAGAAAATTCACCCTATTTGACTTGGGGTCGTTCTTGCTTGTTTGCGTTTCTTTCTCTGTCTCCGTCTCTTTTTCTGTTTTCCGTTTCTCTCTCTCTCTCTCTCTTTCTTTTTTTTGTTTCTCTCTCTCTCTCTCTCTTTCTTTCTTTTTTCTTTTTTGAACCTCCACAAATTGGATCCGCTGGCGGATTACAAGTCGATTAAATTTGTAATCCCCCCAAAAGGAATTCCATTTGAAACCCAAGGCCAGAGGCCCAGGAGGATACAAGGGAAACAAGCAAACAAAAAAGGGAAAAAGGCAAAACCATAAACAAAAAAAGGCTGAGACCCCCTGCGATTTTCAAACCCACGACCAGAATACAATTCAAATCAATTACATTCTGGTGGCAGATTTGAAAAACGCAGAGAGTCTCAGTGTGTTTGTTCCCCCCTTGTTTTTTCTGTTGTTTTCCCAACCCTCCTGCGTTGGGTTCCCGTTTTGAATAGAACACTGCTCGCGCGTCTCATTCCCACCCCCTCCCGTCCCCCTCCCGTCCCTCTCTTCCCCCCTGCCTTTGACCTCGCCATCCCTGGGGGGCTGCGATCTGTGAAACTGTCGCCACTTTCGAGGCCTGCGGAGGGGGCCAGCACAGTTGGTACCCACGGCGGATTCAAATTTGACTTCGCCATCCCTGGGGGGCTGCGATCTGCGAAACTGTCGCCACATTCGAGGCCTGCTGGGGGGGCCAGCACAGCGGGCACCCACTGCGGATTCAAATTTGACCTCGCCATCCCTGGGGGGCTGCGATCTGTGAAACCGTCGCCACATTCGAAGCCTGCTGGGGGGGCCCAGCACAGTGGGCACCCACGGCGGGTTCAAATTTGACCTCGCCATCCCTGGGGGGCTGCGATCTGTGAAACTGTCGCCACTTTCGAGGCCTGCTGGGGGGCCCAGCACAATGGGTACACACGGCGGATTCAAATTTGACCTCGCCATCCCTGGGGGGGCTGCGAACTGTGAAACTGTCGCCACTTGCGAGGCCTGCTGGGGGGCTCAGCACAGTGGGTAGCCACCGCGGACTCAAATTAGACCTCGCCATCCCTGGGGGGCTGCGGTCTGTGAAACTGTCGCCACTTTCGAGGGTTGCTGGGGGGCCCAGCACAGTGGGTACCCACGGCGGATTCAAATGTGACCTCGCCATGCCTGGGGGGCTGCGATCTGTGAAACTGTCGCCACTTTCGAGGGCTGCTGGGGGGCCCAGCACAGTGGGTACCCACGGCGGATTCAAATTTGACCTCGCCGTCCCTGGGGGGATGCGATCTGTGAAACTGTCGCAACTTTCGAGGCCTGCTGGGGAGGCCAGCACAGTGGGCACCCACTGCGGATTCAAATTTGGCCTCGCCGTCCCTGGGGGGCTGCGATCTGTGAAACTGTCGCCACTTTCGAGGCCTGCTGGGGGGGGGGGGGGGGGGCCCAGCACAGTGGGTACCCACGGCGGATTCAAATTTGACCTCGCCATCCCTGGAAGGCTGCGATCTGTGAAACTGTCGCCACTTTCGATGGCTGCTGAGGGGCACAGCACAGTGGGTAGCCACCGCGGACTCAAATTAGACCTCGCCATCCCTGGGGGGGCTGTGATCTGTGAAACTGTCGCCACTTTCGAGGCCTGCTGGGGAGCCCAGCACAGTGGGCACCCACCGCAGACTCAAATTAGACCTCGCCGTCCCTGGGGGGCTGCGATCTGTGAAACTGTCGCCGCTTTCGGGGCCTGCTGGGGAGCCCAGCACAGTGGGTACTCACCGCGGGCTCAAATCAGACCTCGCCATCCCTGGGGGGCTGCGATCTGTGAAACTGTCGCCGCTTTCGAAGCCTGCTGGGGGGCCCAGCACAGTGGGCACACACGGCAGATTCAAATTCGACCTCGCCACCCCTGGAGGGATGCGATGTGTGAAACTGTCGCCACTTTCGAGGCCTGCTGGGGGGGCCCCGCATAGTGGGTACACACGGCGGATTCAAATTGTACCTCGCCATCCCTGGGGGGGCTGCGATTTGTGAAACTGTCGCCACTTTCGAGGCCTGCTGGGGGGCCCAGCACAGTGGGTACACACGGCGGGTTCAAATTGTACCTCGCCATGCCTGGGGGGCTGCGATCTGTGAAGCTGTCGCCACTTTCGAGGGCTGGAGCCCAGCACAGTGGGCACCCACTGCGGATTCAAATTTGACCTCGCCATCCCTGGGGGGGCTGCGATCTGTGAAACTGTCGCCACTTTCGAGGCCTGCTGGGGGGCCCAGCACAGTGGGTACACACGGCGGGTTCAACTTAGACCTCGCCATCCATGGGGGGCTGCGATCTGTGAAACTGCCGCCGCTTTCGAGGCCTGCTGGGGGGCTCAGCACAGTGGGTACACACGGCGGACTCAAATTTGACCTCGCCATCCATGAGGGGCTCCAATCTGTGAAACTGCCCTTGCGTTCGATGCCTGCTGGGGGGCCCAGCACAATGGGTACCCACCGCTGACTGAAATTAGACCCTGCCATCCCTCGGGGGCTGCGATCATTGAAACTGTCGCCACTTTCGAAGCCTGATGGGGGGGGGGGGGGCAGCACAGTGGGTAGTCACCGCGGATTCAAATTAAACCTCGCCGTCCCTGGGGGGCTGCGATCTGTGAAGCTGTCGCCACTTTCGAGGCCTGCTGGGGGGGCCCAGCACAGTGGGTACACCCCGCGGACTC